TTTGTATTGTTTTTAGTTATTTATTTAATAAAAAAGTTATTTAAAATATTGCTATGGGTATTTTGTTTCATAAATTAGACATTAGTGCACTTTTTTAAGTGAGTTAGACAATACTTGTCTAACTCACTTAAAAAAGTGCACCAACGAGAATGTAGTCTTGAAGCTATATCAATGTGTTATCAGAATGGTATTAAAACCTTCTTAAGCTATTATATCATACAATGATATCATTATGATACCATATCTTTGGGAAATAAACTTAATTTATAGCAGAATTATATATATATATATATATTAGTTATAAAGGACAGTATAAGTTAATTTTTTCTCTTTTAGTATCCAAATCGTAAGCTTTGATTTATAAACTCATTTAATGATATCATTATGATATCTAGAATCTGTCATGTTATGATGTGAAATACAAGTTGCTTAACATTCATACTACTTTGCTGGAAAACGTCTTACAAGAATTGAATATTACTTTCAAAATGGCTCAAAGATATGCGAAAAAGTAATAAAAAAATGGTAAAACCAAGTAAAAGAAACTTTAAACTTGTTTTATTGTTGGCAGCAACTTAAAGTAAAGTAAAAACTAAATTGCATTTAAAGTAATGAAATTAACGATTAAAATATTTGTTCTTGATGACTTATTTTTAATACGAATATGTTTCAGAATATGTTGATAATATACCACATCACCTATTCTTATTCGAAAACACTCTAACTGTTCTAGAGTTATTTTTTGTCTTTCTACGGCTTAGACATTTAAATTTTGGTACTTATTTATAAAAGGACATCTGTATTTAAAATAAAGATTGTAAATAACATTAGTTTTTGTAATTGCAAAAAATCAAGCAGCATCACCTGCTTACATTGACCTATATATGCAATTTGTAACTAATTACCTTATTTAAAATACTAATATGAACGTCTTAATTAAATACATATTAGTAATAGTAGTAGTAATTTACGCTGTGTTAGATAGACCCAGCAAATGCGTTGTTTTGCACTCTATTTTTTTAAAGTATTGTAGCAGTTATGTTTGATTGTTAATTAGCTATTAATTAAAAGCTGTTTTTGCTGCTACACCTTCAATTGGAAGTGAACATTATGCATCTAAAATTCTGTTAAAATTGAAATGCTACTATTTATTAAGAGGGAGCATTTTTTTTTTAACATAATTGCAGCTTTAAGAGTTCTAAAGCAATGACGCTGACGTCGAAGTTTAATTTTTGTAACTTATTATAACGGTCATAATTTTACTTTTTAATTACGATATTATAGCTGATGATGCTGGCAAAAAACTTAAACCCAGCAAAAATTTCAAATAAATTAACAGTAGTATTGAAAGAACTCGTATTAATTGATGTTTTTATATTTTTAACATATATACTCTCATACAAGATGTCAACATTCAAATCATTTATATATATATATACATATATATATATATATATATATATATATATATATATATATATATATATATATATATATATATATATATATATATATATATATATATATATATATATATATATATATATATATACATATATATATATATATATATATATATATATATATATATATACATATATATATATATATATATATATATATATATGTGTGTGTGTGTCTGTGTGTGTGTGCGTGTGCGCGCGTGTGTGTGTGTATATGTATAGCCCTTTTTGATAATATAATGCTTTTTGATTAATAATATAGTCCATTTTAGGGTCAAATAACATTATAATTGTTACAGATTAAATATTTTGGACAATGTTTAGAATAAGATAATATATATATATATATATATATATATATATATATATATATATATATATATATATATATATATATATATATATATATATATATATTTATATATATATATATATATATATATATATATATATATATTAATTTTCTTTAGTGTTCTATATACTTTTATCTGGCTTTATATATTGAAAAAATAATATTTTAATTATATTAGTTAATATTTAAAAAATTGTTTAGTTTATAATTGTAGTGTATTTTAAGATACTATGCCTTATGAATTGTTAAGCAAGTTCAATGAAATGATGACAATGGCTCAAGTCAGGTAAAATAGTTATATATAATACTAAAATAATAAGTTTGAAATTATTTACAACCAATTCCGTTATTTAAATAAATACACAGGCAAACTATGTTATTATTTATTTGTGCTGTGGTATAATTACATGTTCTATTTTGAATCCGTATTTTTTTTTTTTTCAGACTTTTGGAAGATCATTATTTATTAAACTTTGTTGTTATTGAATTTAAACAATTGTAAATTATAAAGTACCACCTGGTGCAGATAAGTTTTTATAACAAAGTTTGTGTATATTTACTTCAATGTGTACACAAGCTTCATTTGCTGTTATAATAGTAATTGTATATTCATATTTTAAGATAACAAATCATTAGAACGTTTTGAATTTTTTGAACAAAGTTAAATTATATAACATCTTTTAGAAGCTTTTGGGGACTGCTTCTTAGTGCTACTTGAATACTTAGGTAGGCCTAGTTCAAAACTTTTACTGTAAACTTATACAAGCTAAACTAATGCAACACTCTTCAATGCTTTTATATAAGTGAGAGTGAGATATAATGTTTATGTTAGATATGAAAAGTGAGATATAATGTTTATGTTATTTTTTTTCTAGGTTTTCTATGTTTACAATTGCAATTTCAATAAAACTCTTAATAATTATTTTTATTAACTTTTTTCGAAGCCTTATGTAAAATAATATTGAATTAATATATAAATATATATATATAAAATTTAATCTATCAATTTCACTAGAAATGTTTATTTATACGATATAATTTATCTTTACTAAATAAACAGAACATTATTTAAAATAGTTATAAAATATTATTTATAAAAATATAATTAGTTAAAATAATAATAAATTGTTTTTTTTATTAAAATATAATTTATTTAAATTTGTTATAGCGGAAGTATTATGATAACAAGTTCTTGTAAACTTCTCCTATTTTGATATCAAGTTTTGAGTTCAGAATGATATAAATGCGTGATTTCATTTTGATATCATATTGATATCATAAACGTCTCATATCATGATATCATATATATCATAGTTTGATATCATTTTGATATCAATATGATATCAATTTCCTGACTGCGTAAACCGTAGGACTTTGCACTTTAATAGTAAGCTGTCGTTTTGTCTAAGGTTAGCCCTTAGAAAGTCAAATTTTCTGTCTCCTCTGAATAGTTTCTGATATTAATTATGTTTGTATCAGGAACTATTTCCTTATGATTAGACATTAAAGCAAGTCCATTCAATTTATTACAAAACAAGTCAATTCAATCTGGCATACTCCTTGTGTAAGTTTTTATATTCTTTTAAAATTAGGTATTGTCTTTTCACACTCACAAGATGTGATTGATATTGTTGTAAGTATTTGAAATGCCTGTAAAATGATTGGAAAGCCTCTAATATCTATAAACTTAAACGTATCTGAAATAGTAAATAGTAAATTTGTCTTTTCTATCCAAAACTCCCTCCATAACTTTAATTAAACCTGTTCTCAACATCAAAACTGTTTTTTAGTTCAGTGAGAAGGATGTTTTTTTTTTATTATTAGAGTCAAATGTTTTAGCCAACACAAGATCAATTTTATACCATTTGTTTCGGCAAGCATCTGCATTTCTTTGTTTTTGGGATCTTTTTTTACTTACTGAGTTCTACATGAGTCAGTAAGTTTGGTTTGACCAGGAAGAAAGTATTTTTTGAAGCAAATACTTATTTTAAGAGATAACTTAAAAACATAAGATATGTCTTTAACTAGCTCAAGCAAATTTTTTACTTGCTGGATTAGGCAACTTTTTTCAACAACTAAATTAAGTTTATGTGATGCACAGAGGACAAAAAATATCTCAGTAATAATATTTTTATTAGAGATGAAACACTAGAGATGAAACACCTGATTTTGAAGCATATCCATCGCAAAACTAGCCTTTGCATTTTTTTATATTTAAACCAAATTCTTTAAAAGTTTCAAAAATGTTGAAAGCTATGTTTAAACCACTTGTTCCTGTTTTGCATTCAAAAAAAGGTTAAAAAAACTTTCTTAATATTACTGTTCATATCAACATAACGTATGACAATAGAAAACCGTTGCACAGTCTGAAGCCTCGTCTGAAATAATGGAGAAGTAATTACTTTTTTAAATATCATTTAATAAAATCTCCCTAGTTGCATTTTCATAACAATTAATTAACTCATTTTGAATGGTCATTGAAATATATGTAGAATTTTTTGGGGCATAGACAAGATACTCCTTTAGAATTAATTCACCTCCATCAATTCTAAACTTTAAAAGGTCAACTAAATTACCGTGCCTTGTAATTTTGAAAATATCTCTAAATTTTCCTTTATTTTTTTCTATAAACTTGCGTCTATGACTTTTATTTTCTCTATATATCCTCTCTATGACCTCGTAGAGAAATTAATTCGACCCGAAATTATATTGTCTTAAAAATTGATTTAACTTTTTTTTCTTTTTTTTTTATACACTGCTTCCTAGAAATACCTAGAGAAAACTTAATAGTAAAAAGGTTACTTTTAGCTTTAGATAAAAACATATTATAATAATTCAAAGACTTGATGTGTTCTCCATCAACAGTTTTCTCATGATCGTTGAATATATTTACAGCATTACGACAGACATTAAGTGGCTCTTAAAATAATTTAAGAAACTTATTTTACTAAGAGTTCAATTAATATTTCGAATTATTTTACCTACAGTTATATAATATTAACAAAACACAGTTAAAAAACAATAGAGAACAATATCCAATTGAGAACAGCACTTTAAATAAGAAGATAATATATACGCAATATTGAATGAAATCCAATTCAATTGCAATTTAATTATGTAAGTTTTAAATGACTTTAAATATAAGTTAAGAAACTTTTACTGGGAAAATTTTTATAGGGAAAAATTTAATTTTTAAAACTTGAAAAAATCTAGTACTAGGAAATTTGTTTGGTTTCTTGTATATCTTTTATCAAACAAGTTTTCAAAACCTAACGAAAATTACATTACAATTATAACAATCGGCTTTTAAAAAATATAATAAAAAATTTTTCACAAAAAATGAGAAAAAGAAAAAACACTTCAATTGACTTCTTCACTTAAACTCTTCCTCATTTCGAATGGAATGGTAAAACTTTGTTTCTGGGAAAAATCTAGAAAAATTAAACAAACGAATTTACCGTTTTTAATATTTACAAAAAACTATGAACAATTCCGTGGACTGTACTCTTGCATTAAAAGAACATTTTAAATATTCAGATTCATCACGAGAAGTAAAAATAATAAACAAAATATAATATGGAAATAAAAAGTTCAATTTACCAGAATCTTTTTTTGTCAAACTCCATTTTTCACGTATGAATGACATCCAATGGTCTTTGACCTGCTTATTTTGAAAAGTGTAGACAATAAAAATAAAAAAGCCTTGCATCGAGTTGAAAATACAAAATAACCATTGAAATACATCTCGCGCATCTCCATAAGCTAACACTGCAAATACCCAAGTTGTACCAAGTAATAAAGAGCAAACAAATGCACTTCGAACATTTTTTTTACAGTCGCACTTGCTATGTAGAACAGATTTCCTAATAATGCTTCTGAGAACAATCGTTAGAACTAAAATATTGCCAGTCATTACCGCACCAACAGGTATAAGTATCCCAATATAAAATGTAATGCCATGATGCATGCATCTAAAATAAATATACGAGCGATAAGAAATTTTTTCATAATTTTAATTTTTTTTTCCAAAAATGTGTTTTAATATATTAAAAAAATTTTTTTTTTAGTTATTTAAAGGAAAAAGAAAGGGAAGGTGATGAAAATCTAATAAACACAATACTACGCGGTTAAGAATAAAAACAATAAATTTTGAATTATTATGTGGTTAAAGAAAATTGATTGATCTTACATGTTGGGATTATTTTTAGTTTGAGTTTTAATGTAATAGTTTTTGCTAGCAGCAGTTGCTATAGTAATTATTAGAGGTATGCCTAAAAAAAAAATTCTAATTTTAACATAAAACTAGTACTTTTAATAAAAGTTTATATTATATATTGTAAATGAGATACAAAAAAATTAATAATAAAGTCAAAAGTCTATGTACTTACCCCATGCAAATAAAGATGACTTCAATAAAAAATTGCGTGACTTAGTTGAATTGTTAAATACTTTTACGAACATTTTATATAAATTGAAACCTTCAACTGCCATCCAGAAAAATGTTGACAAAATAAAAAACTGCAACATTGAAGCTACAATCTTGCACAAAACGGGAGAGTTGGTCCGTTCCACAAAAGCAACAAATAAAATAAGCGTAGACATCAGATTTATACATAGAATTATAAGTATTTTAGGAGCACGTTTCTCTCGTAGTTTTCTTAATAAAATTAATAAACTAACAAAATACCAACAAAACAAACAAACAAAAAAATTTAAATACCGCACATACTTGTCAAATGTCAAATATGTTAGTATAATTTACAAAAAGAGTGCTCAACAACCTTAAAGAACAGTAACAAATTATTTAAATATTTATTTAAAAATCTAACTTAATCTTAGTCTTAAGCTTAACCTGATTCTCATTCATCAGAATTATTAAAAATATTCTGCCGCCAATACACACACACACAATACACACACACAAACACAAACACGCACACCTAGACATGTTGATAAAAAAAGATAATAAAAAAAATAAGCGCACAAGCTTTTTAATTGATTTTTTATATACTTTTTTATCAACCCATCTGTTATTCATTGTAATGTTTTTAATTTATATATTATTTTGACAATTTCCTTTAAAAGGTTGAATAAAATTACCTTCGATGATCAGTTTAGTTTAAAGTTTAGTTTGATGACCAGTTTAGTTACATTTTAAGCCTTTTTAAATATTTTGACAATACCTAAAATTAAATATACATAGAAGTGGGTCCAAAACTTCTTAGACAGGAATTGACATCCAGAGATCGGCTAACAAGATTATGGTGATGGAAGAAAAGATATGGATGGTTTTGAAGACGCGGAAATAAGTTATTTTAAGTGAAGAAAGTAACTTTGAAGTGAAAAAAAGAAAAAAAAAATTCTTGTCAAAACATTTAAATCAGAAAAATATAGTAATTTTTGTTACCGAAAAGGGGCATTTATTTGGACATATATTTGGATTTATTTGATTTTTATTGATATTTATTTTTATTATGTTTGATGCACAATTTTATTATATAAAATTTTATGTTTTAAACTGCCATCAAAATTGTAACATTTGTTTAAAAAAAATTTTTATCGCATTAAGAATCATATTTGAACAACCATAGTATGATAATTTAAATGTGGCAATTCCATTTTTAACGTTATATGCGCAACTACTTTATCAACTATTTGCCTACTTTAAACGATAAATTAAACTTTTAGTTATTTTGTATGAAAGCTGTTAGCCTAAAAAGAAAATAATTTAAAAAGTTTTGAGTTTGGCTAAAAGAGGGCGAACTTATTACTAAAAATGCCATTTAACATAAGTTACACGGAAAACAAGATACAAAAAATGCTTAAACTTTTAGGTCAGATTTTGCCATTCAGTAAAGCGGTTTGTATTAAAAACTTCCTTTTTGAGAAATCTTGAGAAATTTATACTAATTTAAAAAAGATATAAAAATTTATCAGAGGTGACCGGCTAAGGGAAATAAATTTCTTTCATAGAGCTAAATTTTTAGAACGCAAAGTATTTACATTCAAAATCTCAGCTTAGGAGGGAGAGGGGTTTATGTTATTGTTTGTGGTAGGAGGGAAGGGATTGAGAATTGACAAATATAGGATAACGAACTTTATGAATGACCCCTCCTCCTCCTTAATTACATTTGCTAACATTTTCTTTTACTTAAACAAAAAACAAAAAATGGTTTAAATTGATTTTTTTATATTTTGACAATAGCAAATTATTCTTTTTTTTTTGTCTAAATAAAAACATTGATATCACTCTTTTTTTTTTGGTTTATGTATATATATATATATATATATATATATATATATATATATATATATATATATATATATATATATATATATATATATATATATATATATATATATATATATGTATATATATATATATATATATATATATATATATATATATATATATATATATATATATATATATATATATATATATATATATATATATATATATATATATATATATATATATCACTTTAGACCATATCAACCCAACCCGCAGTGGGCCAGAATTCACTTTTTTTATTTTCCATAGCAACAACCTATTTTTGTTATCTGCAGATATTTTATGAGTGCTATATAAGTACCAATATGAGATCACACTTATTATAAAAGTGATAATTTTTTAAGTTTTGTTGCTATGAATACTTATAGTGCTTAGTTACCAGATACTTTCCTTAGTTACAAAGATGTAAATTGATGTTTTAATATTCTATCGGATTTACTTATAGTGCTAAGTTACCAGATACTTTCCTTAGTTACAAAGATGTAAATTGATATTTTAATATTCTATCGGATTTTTGACCCACCTATATTGAATAACAATTGAATTTTTAGATTAACAATGTTTTTGCAATAATAAAAACCAAAAAATAGTACGAGAAAATATTTTCAATTTTAAATTACATCAAAAAATTTTAATACAATAACATCGTTTAAAGATTGTTTAAGTAATTGTAAAACATCTGAAGGAAATACTTTATGATTTTTTTGGTGTGATGTTAATTTACACAGTGATGAAATAACAGGATCACTGGAAACTAGAAGTCTATTGATAAGATCAGTATTTGTTGCTTTTCTGGATAATTTATGGCTGAAATTTTTGAGATAATTTGAAGTCTTTATTCTAGCCTCTTGAGCTTCCTCTGACATAAGTCCGATGGGTAATGTATGGTTTTTAATTATGTCATATCCATGTACCAGTACTTTGTAAACTGATTGAGCCATGTAATACCATGGATAAAGTGACACATATAGTCTAACAGTGTAAAAACAATAATCTTTGAATTTTAAGCTATCTATTTCATATCTTGAAGAAAGTGTTACCAAGGTAATGTGAAATCTGTTTATAAGATTTGGATCAATACTCAGAATTTCAGCTGTTTGTTCATATGCTGCATAAGCACGCCTTGAGGTATTGCCATCATTGCTTGTTCCAGAACCACCACTTTTAGGAAAATCAACAAAAATTCCCATTTTGTTTATAAAATCAATCTAAACTTTTGTTAAGCTAAAGATGCCCTTTTCTTAGAGTTCTTCAGATCTTGAATGCCAGTTTCTTGTTTCTTTTTTATATGCAAAACCATATCAAAAAATTGAATCCATGCATAAAGAATGGAAAGACCATATTTGAATTCTCTGTTAATATAATCTATATCAAGGATATCAAGACTATTTCTATTTTTTGGAAAGACACCACACTAAACAGCATTAATATGAATTAGTTTTTTCAGATAATATAGTTTTAACTTTCCCATCAATTATTGTAACATCATTGTAAAATCATTGTAAAAAGTTTAATAATACAATTCACTTCAACAGAAGAACCGCAAACCTCTAATAAAATTATACCCAAGCTTCCTATCTCACTATAATGCACTGATCTTCTTCGTTCACAGGTTTTTTGGATTCCGTTTTATAATCAAATCTTATGGGTCTACAATAGACTGTGGATAGTGACTTTTGATTTCTCCAAATAGACACCTTTTCGTTTCTGTTGTTAAATCCAGTCAAATTCAATGGGACTTGACAAATAATAAATAATTATTCCTCACACTTTAAATCTCTGTTGATGTTACGTTCTGATAAAACTTGTTTATAAATGCTTTGGCCAGTAGCACCATCAAAACCAGCCTTACACGTGAGTGTCATTATTTTTATTGCTTTGCCGTTCATTATCAAGTGCCTCAGCACAGGTTCCTGAACTGCACAGAATCTTTGCAAAGTATGAACCATTAAATCCTTTAAAGAAACTAAAAATGAGTAGTTCTCCACTGTTATATTTGAAGGATAACATTTCAATTTTCCATATCTGACATTGTTGTAAGCGAGGTAGAGGTTATATTCTTTCTTCAAGGCTCTGCTTCTAATCAATTGATAGGAAGCTTTTGTCAGATTGATAGGAACTCATTTGTCAGATTGATAGGCATTGATAGGAAGCTTTTGTCAGACTGGCATTAACTATTAAAGTCAGTGCTTCGTCTGCTGAATATTTAGTTGCTTTATATGTATTTGAAATATATTTAAAACGTTCTTGGCAGCACTAACAATAGATTCATCTCTAATAATTTTATTAGCAGCAAAAAATAATTTACTAGATGAATGGAATTCAATTTAGCCAGGTACACATCGTTTTTTAGTTTTATTCGAACTATTATCTAATGCAACTGGTTTTTGACCACGTCTACTTGCAGTTGGTTTGATGTTTTTTTTTCTGACAATTAAATATTCATTAAGCTAATTTACAAACTTCTTTTCAAAAATTTTAACAGTATAGTTTGCAGATTTCCACTTTTTTTTATGCAAATAAACAAATCGTTGAACAGCATGTCAAAAATCAACGTCTTTAAATTCAACAAATTTGGCTGAATAAATTTCAATATATCTTCAGTAATATTTTTTATTGAAATACTAAGATTGTTTTTTGTGGGAAAATTATTAATGTCTAAATTTAATAAAGCTATATCTAAATAATTCTTATAACAAATATTTTGTATTTAAAAGTTTAATGTTATAGTATACGCGCTGTGTGGATTACAAATTCCTGTTGGTAATTAAATTACTACAAGTGTTAGTAATTAAAATTAAAAGTAATTAAATTACTGTTAGTGTTAGAAATTAAATTACTGACAACTACTGAAAACATTTTGTTTATGTGCTATGCAAAATAAGGTAGCCATAGCAACAACTAAATTTGACCTAATAAGAGTTAATCTCATTTTAATACATACTCCCAATATTTTGTGCTTAGCGCGGATAAAATACTGTTAAAACAACGTTAATGTAAAAATGAGCTGTTGCTATACAAAATTCAGTACAATAGCAACCAAGTTAAAACATTTATAAAATCTGAACGGGAATTTAAGGGGACGAGCAATCAATTAAAACTTGATTGAAGCATCATATAGCTTAAGTAGATATAAGACAGCACATAGCAAATTATGGTAATTATTAGTTATAGTGCGGCAATAAAAAAATTTCTTGAAGATTTTTTTTTTTTTTTAATCTGTGACTTTCTATGTATAAATGAGATAACATGGTATGACATATATTTCACACATTGGTTTTTCTTAGCGTTAATGTCATCATAAATTAATTATTACAATTATTTTTTTTTTAATTTCAATATTCAAATGCTTAGAGTCCTGG